ATATATATATATATATAATATAATATACTATGATTCACTTCCGATTGACGTTGCCTCACAATACGCACCCATCCAGCTGGATACAATCATTGCGAAGATACGATGCTTGCTCTCCTGTTCCAGCTCCGTCAGTGACAGGAAGTTGAAGTGACGGGTCAATCTCTGAGTCACGGGGTTGCGACCTCCTCCCGGAGGACCCATCGCACAGACGAAATTGACGTCGACGAGTTTACGGAACTCTCCTGTGAAAGCGAGGGGAGGGGAAGGCAATGAGGAGGAATGCGAGCGGACGTGGGAGTTTCATTCTTATCAATACGGCTATATAGCCACCAAATTCTATTTCACCATCGGAGTTTCTAATGGTCGCCAGCAAATCTATAAAGATTCCCACGGCAATTCATAATACATTTCTCAGTCTCATGACGCCAGTGACATTTTTTTTTGCCTTAAAGCCGCACTATGCGCATCCAAACGCTAATTTCTCCAGTACTAGACTAGCAAATATTTCGTGTCATGCATAATCACACTACCTTATGGCAAAAAAAACTCTAGTTCCTCCTATTTCACTGCGCGTTTGCTTAAAACCCACAAGAAAGAGGTGCGAAATCTGATAATCTGGCGCCAACGCCGACTTAATTGTTTGCCAAACAATTTAGCCTCGAAGCGGTTAGGTGACGTCACATGTTTTTTTTATCTTTGCTACACCCGCACCGCTGTACCGCAGCACCGCTGCACGGTTGCTTGGGAGCTAGAGCAACGCGAAACTGTCAACAACATCGGAGAATTTGAACAACATTGGAGGTATTTTCAAATGCCTTTTATAAGACAACGCGCAGTGAAATGGGAGGAACTAGAGTTTATTTTGTCATAAGGTAGTATGATTCTGCATGACACGAAGTATTTGCTAGTCCAGTACTGGAGAAATTAGCGTTAAGAGACTGCCTGAGAGGTGAGGGAGGGGGGTTGTCTGAACACGCACGCAGGACTTTTGTCAACAGCAGAGAATGCGGAGCAATTATTTCTCATACTTACGTGGCTGTGCGCAGCATGATTGCTGCGGCGATATGACAAGCATGAAATCAATTACAAGAATGAAACTTTACGAACACGCGAAAACTGTCTGGAAATGTAACTACAAAATTGCGTCTTGTCAGCATAACTACGATTACTAATAACGAGAGCACGAACGCATTATGGTGCTTCGATCGGTAAGAAGATTTTTTCTACGGAAATATTTGTATTTATTACGCATAGCGCCGCAAATCAATTTCGTTTAGTGATTTCAGGTAGAGAAATTAACGAGAATTCAGACAGTGCACTAAGGCATCTCATAATGCCAGCTGGTGCATAGATTCCACAGGATTTCAACGCACTGGAAAAGGGTCATCTACAGGTCATCATGTGAACATGCTGGAGGAGACCCATGTTGCCATTGCGTGAGAGCATCGCGCTTTTGCTTTGAGCAAGACCCATTTTGAGCATTGTGCGATGTCACATTGATGCATGAAGACTTTGTCAGCACGAATCACGACGATCTTTTCACGTGTAAAACTCGTTAACTCGCTCACCGGCGATTTTTTCTCTCTCTCTCTCTCTCTCTCTCGATTCTTCACCCAATCTTTCTATATATAATATTTTTTCTTGTGCGTGAAACGTAATCAGGATGAGATGGTCGAAAAGTTAGTTCATTAGAATAAATCTACATCAGTTAATTTAATCTTGCTTCATATTCTACATGTATATCTATGCATGTGTATACGTGCGTGCGTGTCTGCCTGCATGCCTACCTAGCTACCTATATATATATATATATATATATATATATATATATATATAATATATATATATACATATACGTAACTAAGCTAAGGCCCGCCGCAACGATTGATGGGAAATTATTTACTTCTAGCGCCCCACATTACCGCAGACATCGCTAGTGAGCAGTTCAGTCCATTTGTTTCGTTAATTTGAGCATCAGAATGATGAAATAAATGATATCGCGACAATGATCGGAATGCGATATTAAGTATCATGTTTGTTCACTTACAGAATGCCGCCGATGAAGGAAAGTTACTTTTTGATAGAAGTTCGGTCGTGTTCTAATTGAATACAATAGCGCACGTACATCGTATCGCTAATCTGACTGACCCTTTATCAAAAATTAAGCAATCCACAAGCAATCCACAAGCGATGCAACGCGTTGCTTTCAAAAAACACTCAGGGTGCAGAGGAATCGCTATCTGATGTGCTTAAGTTAAGCAATCAGGACTACGATCATGCATTGCTTAATAAGCAATCAGGACGCAATCATCGATTGATTGGACCGATCATCGATGGCATAATAAGCAATCGGACCGATCTTCGACTGTGCTTAAGTAAGCAATCGGGACGCGATCAATCGATCGCTTAATGAGCCATCGGAGAACCGACACGCTTTGCTTACAACACCGATCAAGTGCCGCAGGATTGCGTTATTAGCAATCGACGATCATTTAAGAGCGCTATCGCTCTGCAGCCATTGAGGCGCTTATTTAAGCATGGCATTGATCGCACTTGATCAGTCCTAAGAGATACGACGATTGCTATTCATCATGACAAATCCAGGCGCTGCTCTAGGACCATCGCTGATTCATTTAGCAAATCATGATCGCTTAAGGCAATCGCTGATTACTTGACAAATGGCTTGACTTCTTCCCTTACACTAACTAGAAACAGACTCGCTTATTATACGTGTATAAAAACAGATAAAACAATCTATGTGTATAACCGTTCTTCTTTCAATATTTGCCGTCTGAACCGTGACAATCATCCCAAACAACTAGTGTAGTCTAGCTAATTAATTAATTAGATAATTAATAATTAATTTATTAAATTATTAGGCAGAGATTAATAATCGTGAATTAATTCCAACGGCAATTATTTTTGGGGGAAAGCAACGCTATGATACCGTAGCCCGTAGTTCTCGAGACATTAAGGTATCGGCTACTGTACCCGTAGGCGTGATTTCTTTTTACGCTAGGTCAATCAAGAACATGGGGCTGTAGTGAGCGCTCTGATCGTTGAGCTTGTTTTCGGTTGAATTTGCTACTATTTAAGTTAATAAACATGCTGTTATGTAGAAGTTATATGCTTTAATACTAAGAAATATGATACATGACTATTACAGAGATGCTAACAGGCCGGCAGGTTACCTATACGGCTATAGCTTCCCCCACCGCACTACATCCCCCAGTTCTTTTTCCGCCGTGCCTCTATCATTCCCATCCACCTCACCTTCTCCACTCCCCCTCCTCTGCCATTGACATCCCGCCACCTTTTCGAAGCCTTCCTATATCTCTCACTACCTCCTCCTCTCCGCCTGCCCCTCGCTCTCCCCTGCCTTTCAACCTAGCTCGATCTCCATTACCCAATTCCGCCTACTCCCTTTTATGTAGCACGCGGTGGCTGAGTATATATAGCCGCGCAAGATTCGACAAAATTAGTAACGGCCTTTTTTGACTAAAAAAAAATAATAATATGGTATTCTACGAGGTTATAGACTTGTTCATCCACGGCCAAGATTGTGTAGTGCAAGTTTATGCAGCGACCGTTTATTGATGGTTGCAGCAACGTTTATTTTTTACAACCTCCAAACAGTACCTAAACTTTCAGTACTCGGTTTCTAACTATAGGTGCATATATAGTGTGGCAGAGCAAAGCTTTGTTTCTAATCATGAATAATAAACGTTAAATTATATGGTTACGTGTAACGTTCAATGACTAACGTTGTTAATGGTTAGCGACAGAGAAGTTTGTAATAAATAACGTTATATTTCACCACTCGGACCTTAGATAAAGTGTTCAGTACTGGATAGTTTGTAATCTGAATAGGCTGGGCCAGCTAAAACGTTTGTTTCTAGACCTGAATATTAACTTTATTTATAACGGTTTGATGAACGGCGCCGTTCTTAGAAGGTTAATTCCCACAATAACCTAAATAATTAAAACCAGATCATAACTTAGGAAACGTTATGTGTTAGCTAAGGTATATACGGCAACATGAGTGATTCGGTTAACACGCTGATGCTATGGGTATTGTGCTTCAATACGACTTTCTCACAGGACTCTATTCAAATTATAAGGACGCGATTGATCTGGCTGTTCAATCACTGGCTCAATCTTAAACATTTGACCATGTGCAGTCTTCAGCGTGGGCGCCGCTTGACAAATCTGTCTGGATCCAGTCTCATTACTTGTTATCAGTTTATATCAGTTCTTCTGATTGATTGTCGATGCGGTCTTGAATCTTGTTGACATCTGATCAGTCTCATTGCTGTGATTGATTGGGTCCTTGGATTCAGTGCTCGAATCTTGTTGATCGTCTGGTCAAGTCTTGATTACTCGGTTGATCAGGTCTCGATGCTTGTCGATTGCTTAGGGATCAGTCCCTCGATGCTTAGGATGCAGTCTTGATTGCTTAGGAGTCAGTCTCGATTGCTTAGGATCAGTGCTTGATTGCTTAAGGATCAGTCTCGATTGCTTAGGATACATCCTTGTTGATCAGTCTCGGATTGCTTAGGATCAAGTCTCGATGCTAGTCGATTGCTTAGGATCAGTCTCAGATTGGCCTTGTCGATTGCTGTAGGATCAGTCTCGATTGCTTGTCGATTGCTTAGGATCGGTCTCGATTGCTTGTCGATTGGCTTAGAGATCAGTCTTGATTGCATTGTCGATTGGCTTATCTAAGGCAATTCGACAAGCATAAGATGGTGTTCGATCGCTTGTGATTGCTTAAATTTTTTGTAAGGTATTGGCCAGGCCGCTATTAAGCAAAAATAGTTAATGAACATGTATAACGGCGCGCAGGTCGTTCTTTGATCTCTTCTCTCTCCCTATATATAATATCTATTAATAATTATGCCTCCCCTCTGTCTCTCTCTACATACACACACATATATATATTGATGATAGTATATAGTATATATATATATATAAAGTATAACGCCATTATTATTTTTATTACGGTTCGATTTCCAATGTCTGCTGAATTGCGCTGATGATGAATGTAAATACATATAGAAAGCTCGCGTATTAAAACTAAACAGGCCCTTAACCTACTATTTGAATTGTATATATATATTAAGTATCGCAAAGTATATGACTAAGTTATATGGGAGATATATAAAGCTTCTTATATTATTCATTTTCATAATTTTTTTCATTTCATATTATTTGTAATTTCATATTTCATATATTTCATTTTATATGGAGATATATAATAATTCCCATCAATCGTTGCTAGCGTTAGTTATATATGTATATATATTGTATTATATACAATATATATATATAATATCATCATTCATATAAGTATATACGGCAAGTTATCCATATATAATTATGATATACTGGATTATATTAAAGTTGTCTGATGACGCGCAAGTGCGTGAAACTCTGAGTAATCAGCAAAAGTGATGTCTTGTGTTTAATGCTATCTACAATATAAATTAACGTCTGCAATTAAATGGCATTGAGCACCTCACAGCAGTGTAGACCAAAGCATAGCAGTGTATATATATATATATTGAGTAAGAGAGAGAAACAGGAGGATTGAATTGTGGTGAGTTTTTACTTTTATTACTTATTTTTATATTTATTTTTGTTGGCGGCAGACAATCGAAGACAGAGAGAAAGATATAGAGAGAGAGGAAAGCGAGAAAGCGAGACTACAACGACAGCACGCGGAGAGAGAGAGAAGAGAGAGAGAGAGAAGAGAGAGAGAGAGAGAGAGAGAGAGAGAGAAGAGAGGGAGAGAGAGAGAGAGTGTGAGAGAGACAGACAGACAGAGAGGAAGAGAGAGAGAAGAGAGAGAGACGAGCGCTCTGCGAGGAGAGAGAGTGAGAGCAGACAGACAGACAGCCAGAGAGAAGAGAGAGAGCGAGAGAGAGAGAGAGAGAGAGAGAGAGAGAGAGGAGAAGAGCAGAGAGAGAGAGAGGTGAGGAAAGACAGGACAGATCACAGCAGAAGATTGGGACTGGAAATATAGTCACGCTTATAAGTGGTAAAACCTACCGATGGCCTTCTAATCGTACAGCCCCTAAAGTCCAATCACACATGACGGAATGAGCATCGATGGGCGCTGCGCCACCATATACCTCCATCCAGCGCGCGGCATGTCGGTCATGTGATGAAGAAAGAACAACTGCTGTCCGAAGCGGTGGACCAGACACGCGCCTTTACGTCTGCAAGACGCAGAGAAATGCACTATAATGTTTAACATAGGTAAATCCGCTGATACAAAAAACTATGAACTTCCTGGGTCAGTTAGGATAGAGTTATAGGGTTATATATAATTATATATTATATTATAATATTATATATTATTATATATATATATAAAAATTATATATTATATTATTATATTTATAAAATTAATATTATAATATGTTATATAAGAACCCAAAATATTGGGGTTACGTTGGGATGCGGTTAGAGGTAGGTTAGCGTCAGGGTTAATGCAGTACGATCCGACAGCACCAAGGGAGACGCTGGCATCTTTCAGGCATTTATTAGTGTTAGAGTTGCATAAATATTAGATTAACGAATGAAGTTCTTCTCGCAAAAGAGCTTCTAGTTGTTCACTCATAAGAGCACACTCCTCTCTCTCTCATTCTGCTCTATTCTCTCTGCTCCTCAATCTTCTCTCTCTCTCTCTCTCTTCTTCTTTTCCCCTCTTTGTACTTTTATCGCTCACGTGTCGCTACGTGTTGCGTTAAAGGGAATTCGCTCACAGCGCTATTATATCATTCGAAGACGCGCACGACAAATCACGAGCGGAAACGTTGCATTCGACGACAAATTCCCCGCGTTGCATCATCCATGCGCGACCGGAAATGGAGGGCGCGACAGCTGCTGACAAGCAATCGCGAGGCGAACGGAGAGTCTGGAAGCGAGGGATAACATTTTAAGCAGCATGAAGATTTTCGGATGCATTGGCTTCGTCTTGTTTTACTCGCTCGAATGGGAATACGCTTTTATCCAATCTCTATCAATTAGGTCCTGCGTCTGAGTTGCACTTCGTAACACGCGCGAAAGCGTGATGATATCCGAGACGCATTCCTCAGCATTCCTCTCAACAGCTTGTCGGCTATTGGTCAG